AAAGATGTGAGTCGGCCAACTGAATTGATTGAGATCAGCACCATAGCCATTGCCACCAGCAACGAGAGTTCCATTCTTATCTCCTATTTGATATCGTCTTACTTCAGATTTTGTTTCGTCAGAGACGTAGAGATATCTCTGATCGTCCATGGTCAACCCCCAACAAGTAATATTGTCTAGGAGAATTTCCCCTTGAGTTGTGCCACTACGACGAGACCATCGAACGACTCGTTTATTTCCTCGATCACAAATAATGAGACTATCCGTCTCTTTATCCATCAGCATATCGCTTGGAACGTTCAATTGATTCAATTGATTTCCATAGTCATAGCCACCAGCAACAACTTCTCCATTCTTATCACCCATCTTCCATTGCATGATACGATGATTGTAGAATTCAACGATGAACATCGTTTGATCATCATCAACAAAGAGAGAAATAGGATGAGAGAGTTGATTTGTGGCATAACCTGCTCCATTACCTCCAGCAACGATCACTCCCTTCTGTGCCCATCGTGCATCGACTGGAAGATTAAGAATTGCTATAATAAACGAAAAGGAAAAGAAATCGTCATCGTCGTTATCGAAGAGATCTTTCGCGCAGAGGAAAGAGCTATGAAGGAGGCATTCGTCTTCTTAGGAAGGAATTTAGTAAAACTGCCGAGAATGTTCTTTTCGCAGATAGAAAGTCACAAGTTTTTCCTAGTTTCCTATAAAGGAAAAAGGATTTTGTAATGATTTTTACATCTATGTCACTTTTAGTTTTTGCCAAGATCTTTTTGACCCAAAAAACTACACATAGAGATTGTTGTAAGGACGTACTTCGAGAAAGAACAATGCTAATTTGATGCAAGCTCTTGATAGAAAAAAAATAAGAATCTGAGAATTTTATTTGTAATTTCGAATTCAGAATCTTTTGCAGGATGACCATTTATATGAACACCAGACAAAAATTTAAGCAATAAAATAATGAACTATGTAAAACTCCTAAACTGGAAAAATCCTGAGAAGATTCAAGTGCATCTTTGAAATCTAATGCCTTCTACTTATAAAATACTCAGAAGACTAATATTAATCTTATCTGCTTTCTTCGTAGAAAAAGATGAGGATTTTGTTAGTTTTCTACAAGTACGAGCTGAGGTTATGATTTGCGATTTGAAAAGCTAGGTCTTACTCAGAGAGAGGTAGAAAGAGTTCTCGTTAGTTATTATTAGGTTTTCGAGAAAATCTACTACAAACGATTGTTTGAAAATTCTAGAACGATTTCTATGAACTTCAGACAACGATCTTAGCTATAACATAATAAACAGTGTTAGAATTCGAAGCTGAAAAATGTTGCAGATTCGATTTGCATCTTTCTTGAATGCTGATGCTAAATATTTCAGCTAACATCTTGGTCTTCTTAGAAGAAACTCAGAACAAAGGGTTTTCGAACCCTTACCAATAAATATCAAACCTATTTTGTATGTATTTGAGAATCCTAAGGAGTGGATGTCTCAGAGATATGATTATTCTCTCTAAGGACATACTCAATCCAAAGAAAACAATAGAAATTATTCTACGTTTAAAAAATACATCGGACAATTGCACGATCTGCATATATGGTGATTGTTTCATAGTGTCAAATATATAAAAGTTGAACAGACATATAAAATATATATTTGTAACGTCTGAACTATCATCCAAAAAATTGACTATACTCTCATGTGACTTCATTATTCAGAAAGAACGTTATTAGAAAACATGCTAAAATCTCGTTATGAAATTTTTTATTCTGCTCATTCTTTTCTTACGATGAGAAAATTACTGTGATTTATTTTTATCATTTGATATTCTTATGGAATCTACAGCTAATATAAGATTGGATGTTGTTTTTGTTTTAAATGATTAAGATAAAATTATAATGAAAAATAAATTTGACAAAATTTGTTTTTAATATTGTATTAATGGGGCATCCTACTCACAAAGATATCAGTTGAGTACAATAAATTTTAAATGACAACTTAGATATGACATTTAAACATATATTTTTGTATGTTTTTTCTATTTTATATAGTCGACAAATATGCAAACAATGGCAAAATGGTCTCAAAATTTATGAAATATAGCTATTCGTTTCGTTTTCATCTCTGCTAATGTGAACAAGAAAACCAAAAAAATAAATTCTACTTTGCTCTAAATAATACCTCTGAAACAAATGAGAATATTGACAGAAATAATATGAAGATGAACAAAACAGAATTGAAGAAAAATATATACATTTCAACGTGTTGATAAACAATGAGGCCGTTAAAATAAACTTTTTACAAACTTTAAATAGTCGGTATATTGAAGTGTTCAAAAGTGATAAGAACTCATGATATCGTAAACCACAGTGTCACTTGAGATCGAAAAAAAAAGAACTCCTAAGAAAGGGTTTAGAATTTCAATGTATTCATTCATTGCGATCAATAAAAGTTAACAAATTATATGACTATCTCAGCTTTAGTGCATAATCTGTTTATTCGTCTAGCGCTGAGCATTAACGAACGAAGGAAAAACATACTCTTATATAATTCAATTGATTCTATTCAGTTACTACTCTTTATTCATTTGCAAGTTGATAAAACAAACAAACGTTGTTAGTTTTCTATTTTATCAGTATTAGACCTGTTCTGTCTTCTTCTAACAACGTTAAATCTTCAAAATTTAAAAATGCTTATTCATACAGAAATAAAAATGGGAATAATTTTCGATAGCTCTAAGAAAACTCGAACCTCAAATAAATCAACAACAGATTTGCAAGTAGATTAAATCATATTTTGAATTTTGAGGAAAAACAGTACGTAAACAAAGTAAACAGATGGATGATAGAAACAAGCACCAACTCGCACATATGTAAAAAAGACAAGAGCAGTCGGACATTTTTTAAGAACATTCTATTTTGTATGATTGTTAAAAAATTGACTTGTCATTCTGCTAAGAAATCAGAGCGGACTATAAATAATAATTTTCACATCAGATGTGTTCGTATAAACATAAGTAATTGGACTAAAGATTCTACGTCTAAATACGTTGAACTGCTTTGAAAAGCACGAGAAAAAACGAGTGATTGTTAAACATACTAAAAGTTGCTCGGAAAAAAACGCATTTTTTAAAATTCTTATCTGACTGGTTTATTGCCATCTGGTAACAAATGACTTATTACTCTGACATTGATTTAAAAGAGCGTCTATCAGATTTAAAACTCAAGAACAATTTACAGTACTATGAAAAAATACCCTATGGTAGCTAGTATCTATACAAAAACAACCATTGCTATTACTTTTATTGTTCGTTAGAAAATGGTAATATAGTAAAAAGTATAGGTCTACACAGTACCCCAAATATAGCCGAATACCTAATAATTATTTGTAACACTTATATCTTCAGAATGACTCATCCATTCAAATTGAAGTTTTCAGTTTATTCCTTACTTAGATGTATATATCTACTGTAAAAATATTGACTCAATCTGTGAGATCAAGTGAACAAGACTCTACTAGAAGTGGCCGTGACCTACGTGCAATGTCTTGTAGGGAATTCAACGATAATGAGAAACCGAAGTACAAAAAGAAACCATAGTTTCTAAATCTTTGATATCTGTATGATTTTCAGCATGGTCTCAGGACCTTTTGAACATTACAAGTAATAACATTTCAGAAGACTCATGAGAGTTTACAAATAAGAGTGTCTTGTTATCGACAATTGAAAGTCTTTCAGAGTTTTTGAAGATGTTATTAGCTGAAGAACTTTAAGCATATTGCAAAGTTACAGATACTGAATTTCAACTTGATAAAACTCTACAAGTTTTGCAAGATTTTTCAGTAAATCCTATTGTTTGAGTTTGGCACAATACGAATTTTTTTTAAAAGCGCATGGATTCATAGAACTCAAACAACTTAAGAAAGCAGTGGAATCCAAAGAGATTAAGTATCGGACGGGCGAGAATGAGTATATAGGTGAAAGGCTGAGAGTAATAATCAACAGAATTCTCGTAACCCTCATTCAAGTGTCGTCAAATTGTTTTAAAGAGAAAGATTTCGAGAAGTTCGACATAATAGAATTACTAAGATTTGAAATGATTTCTTTTGACGAAAACCCAGACCTAATTCGACTAGGTTTTGATGAACAACGTGATTTTCTCAGACAGTTCGATGTCGGATCCACACGTTGGATCAAATCACTTGGAGCTGTTAAAACGGTTAAATTCTACTGAATACTATTTTCTTGATGAAAATAATTCGTGAAAAAATTTTCATTCAAAAAAAACTCAAAGATTCTTTTGTATTTGTCGAAATTTCGTTATTATAACTTTCTCGTTATTAATTAAATATTTTGATACAATTATCTAATTTCTGCCTTTATCATATATAAACTAATCAATATTCAGACATTTTTTCATTGTTTCACATATATATATATCATACATAACGTTATTTTCTTAAGAAAAAGTATAAATAACTTACCAGAAGTAGTTTTAGTTGGTGATTTTGCTGCTGCCAGATACATATCATTCATAGCTGATGCTAATGGTTGATCATCGTTGTCATCAATTTCAATTAGATGCACAACATGTGAGCCGTTCGATTGTTCTAAGGGGTCGCTTTTCACGCGAAATTGTGAGCCCATTCGTAAAATAACTTCATTTTCATTTTCATATTCTGTATATCCAGAAATTTTCTTTCCATTAACAGCTTCAATAAGAAAAAGAGTTGATTTTTTGTCTTTATCAAGAAAATCTTTAATAACTTTGACCGATGACGAACATGAACTAACACTCCACCACGTCACAATTTGGTTTTCGGTGAAGTTTTTGCCAATATCAAGAGACACACCTCTCCATACCGCCTCTTTAACAGTAGGTAACTTATCCAATGCCGTATCAAGTAATTTTAAATATGGAAACCATATCTTTAATGCTTGTCGATTTTCAGATCGTAGTGCTTTATTTAATACACAATACAAAGTAATATCACCCCATTCCATTGTATAGATATAAACAGCAGCCGATTGATCACGTGATAGTCCATGTTCTGACGGAAAATGACAATTGCGTTTAGCTATCTTTATATAATAAGGTAGTTCATCAATTTGAGACTGGATAGGTTCTAGTGCTTTTTCAATTGAAACAAGTGCTGCACTGCGATAACCATAAACAGGTGGAAGCTTTTTAAATAAAACCTCGATATCACCAAAGCGATTCATCACGTACAATTTTTATTTGCTGTTGAACGTTGATTAAAGTACGATTGTTACGAGTTTGAAACAATTGTTAAAAATATTTTAGATTTGTTTTCCTATGTAATATTATTAAAAAAAATTGTTGTCAGTACTTTCTCTTTCTATACAATAATAGAAAAAATGACTTCTTTCTTTTCCTTTCGCAATACTCTATTCGTGATACTGACAAGAAGAATATGAAAAATGTCAGCAGAAAGACTTCATCCTCTGTTTCTTAAAGATTTGTTTTCAAGTTACTTACATAAAATTCTTAACTACTCAAAACTCACTGTATCACTCGCAAAGATCGATCCGTACACAGTAGCATTTGATGATTTATAAAATAGATAAAATCACCACAAAATCAATAATTATAAAATAAAAAACTTCTTTCTTTAGGTTATTAGCGCAAGCGGAAAAGGAAGTCAAGTACACAGTCTTCGAAGATGACTTGACTACTTCTAAAAGCATACCAACAATTCTAGAGAACAAATTATCGTTTGCAGCACAAATGTTAAAGAAATTGATTAACTCTTTGTGAAGATTTATGAAATAATATTTGTCCTAAGACGTAAGTAAATGCTTGATGATTAGTATGATAGTACAAGACTTAAAATACAAGCGAAGTGGATATAATTCTTATGTTGAAGTAGCAATAGTGCTATTATTAATATGAATTCTCTTGCTTAATTGTCTACTGAAACAATTAACTCAGACAAAATAGTTTTCTTACCTCTCCTTCTTTTATCATGAGATTTTATAAAGAAAAATGGTTTAGTTGTAGTTAATCATATGTAGACACGCATCAATTTTAGTTCAGCAGTTTGAATTGTAATAAATTCATCAACCCTCATTAGTCTAACTATATGCTGATGATCAAATCTTCTTATCAGCATGAAATAGTTATGACCAGTTTTCCTCATACGAAGTAGAATTACTAAACGCCCTATTTTAACTTAACTCTGCAAAGTTGAATGCATCTCGGTAATTGCAGCTCATTATCGAAAAAAACTAGCCGCGAATATTTTATGCAGCATCGCAACTACAAGTGGAATGCTTTCCTTGAGGTCGTACTCATTGCATCGAAAGCTATATGGGTATTCTTCGTAAATGATATATTCGCTTCCTCAAAGTTCTAAATTCCGAACTACTCATTCATCATACAAACAATCCGATACAACACTATTAGCGACCCGCATCAATTGGCATGAAAAAATTGATCTTCAGCTGCAACACATTTCAATTAAATATTCTATTTTTCGGTTTCACAAATAAAGTCTGCATAACATTATTTTCACAAACTTTCACATCAAAGCATTTTTTTTACAAAGATAGTAACTATATATATATATATAAACACATCTTTATCTTGAGTTAAAAAGAAACCACCGAATAGGATCTTTAATGTAACAAGAATCAAAATATCATAGCAACATGCAATAATGTAAATTGTTTTAAATGAAATTGTTTCTAGTTACAGTCAAATATGAAAAGAATCAATCATAGTAAAGTATTTATTGTGTTGTACTTCAAAATATGGCAATATTCAGTATCTGTATCTTAATAGGAGAATGAAGGATAAAACACTAATTTATTCACCAAAAATTCCAATCATACCTATTACAGAAACTGTATGAAACGATTCCTTATGCAGCTAATGGTAATGTTCTTCATTCTACTAATTTTAACTTAATATTGTACGCTGACAGGTTTTGAAATCGATTTCTGGTAATTGAAATGCCGCATTTCTATATACCGTCACGTTTTTTCGTTAGTAGTTACTCTAGACTTTCAGTTTGAATTTGATTACTAGTCTAATAATGTTAGAAATTAAACGTACTTACATATTGAGTAATACTGAAGTGCGCGAGTTTGTTTTGTATGTTTGTAATCAGTTTTGCTTCATATTTATCGTTGACGAAATTACTTGGTTTTTTTCCCACTTAAACACGTTTACATGAATCAGCGAAGCATGACATTTTCATCAGGTAGGTATTTTTTTTTCATCAGTGTGCTCATCGTCGCATCTATTTCATTCTTTCAATATTCTCCTTTTTTTCACTTTTCTTTGCATGTGCTGTCGTTACGATGAAAAAATATACACTAATATTTACATACGCGAGCGCATTACAATCAAGTGTGGGAAGAACATGTTGCAATAAGGCCATTTCTCTTGTCCACAATTTTTTTCGCTTTTATCTATCTGAGAGGTATCAAGGAGCCACTAGAAGTGTTTCCTATCACCGAGTTTTGGAAAGTTTCAAAGTGAGGCTTTCCTCCTGGGATCTCCTCAGGATTCGAAAAAAAAATTCTTTCCTCAAACAGCTTCAGTAGTACATCATTTATATGCAGTTTTCCGTGCTAATTATGAATATTAAATTTATATTTGGATTAAGTTGAATTTTACATATGAAAAAGCTTTTTACCGCTAAATGGTCTATAGAGCTATTGCCCCATATATCAGTCTATCTGTATATATGAAAACATTGCTTTTTCCTTTTGAAAATATACTAAAATGTGTGAAAATATCCGCTCCACTCATTTCACGTAGATTCAGTTAGAAAAATGGCCGCTAAGCAATGGAAATATTCCGTGCAATTAGAAATATAGCACCCAAAGTCATGATTCCCCATTTAGTGCAGCCTTTCAGCACGACAAAACGATCGACTGTCAAATAACCATATTTACCACTCGATGCAGGTCTTTATGCTGATTTCGAATATCAATTCAAAAATGTGAAAACAAATGAACAACATCCTGGAAATAGCAAACAACCCTACAAACGATCAGTTTTGAATCTCTATTTACTCAATTTATACGTGAAGGGTATGGGTATGGGTGTGTAGGCGTCAGTGTGGATATGCATGGGGTTATAGGTATGGGTGTTCATGTGCGTGTAAGTAAATGGGAATATGATACTCAACCGCACCCACACCCACACCCACACCCTTCTTCGCTCTTCCACTGATCTAGTTGTTCTTACTATTTCTTTCATTCTCCAGCATCTAGATTCATTCTTTGTATTTTTTTCATTATATGGTCATTCTAGTCATTTACCTACTTATCTTAAAGCGGGTACACATGACGAATGGTGCAGCAAAGTGTCGAGCGTAAAATTCATAAAAGAATTCGATTAAAATTTTTTTTCAAAGGCCAGCAATGTTTTAAAACAAAAAGTCTCAGAAAACTCTTCAACGAATCTTTTAAAAGTACAACTAATTTCATCGAATCACTTAGATCGATTATATATATATATATATATATATATATTCGTTGTATGTGTGGTGTGCAAATTAGATATATAGCATTGTTGCTGTACAAAAAAAAGAAACGGTTTGTTTTATAACGATCAAAATAAACGCTTTTATGATATTGTTTGGTATCCATGTTTTCCACTTCCAGCAATTATAGTTGAGAATATGGATTTTATTCCGAAAGATAGGATGTCAGAAGCTAAAAATTTCATATGACACAAGAATACTATTGAGTGCTATGACAAACGATATTCTTTGGAACAAAATGAACATTTTCTACATGAGATATTCAACCATACGATTTATTTTGGTTTTATAAATTCCAAAGCGACCAAATAAAATATTTTTTAATCTCATCATGTACTATCTATTCTCTTATGTGCTAGATCAATGATTTTAGCGCTAAATGAAAGCCTTTATTGTAATGAACAAATGTACATCCTTGGTGTTTGAAAAGTTCGGTAGGGGATAATAAGAAAAAGTTAAAGAGATATATTTCGATAAAAAGATTAAGATCAAAGTTACGGAATAGTTTTCCAAAATCTTTTGTTTTAAAATATTTCTAATCTTTGAAACAATTTCAATCAAGTTCTTGCACGGTTTTTCACGTGTACAGGTGTGGGTGCGGGTGTGAGCGTGGTGTTGTTGTGAATGTCGTCAAGAAAAAGACCAACACCTCGCATCCACACCTACATCCTTGGTGATGCAACTCAAACACTACGTACTCATTGAAAGGAGAAGTTTATGCGTGACATCAACCAGGAGCAGCTAAACTACCGATAATTACTTTACACGTGCTGAGCTCACAGAGAATTTACTTGGAGTTCAAACTACTGTGTTTGACACAGTTCGAAAAAAGAAATCCGAAATTCCTCGAGAACTGCAGTCAAATCGTCAACGTCCGGAGCACTTATCGATATTTTGTTTTGATAGGCAGCTCACACTAGTGAGCTATGTGCGTAAAAAGAGTAAAGCAGTGAGGGTGTGGGTGTGGGGTGTGGGTGTGAGTGTGGGGTGTGGGTGGGTGTGGGTGTGAGTGTGGGGTGTGGGTGGGTGTGGGTGTGAGTGTGGGGTGTGGGTGGGTGTGGGTGTGAGTGTGGGTGTGTAGGTGTGATGAGAAGATATCCACACCCACACCCACCCACACCCACACCCACACCCACACCCTATTAGTCAATAGAAGCTAATGAAAACTTCGATTATCTATGCAGTTGTATATTCATTAGTATTTGCAAAGTTCTTCTGAAAATCTGATTTTTTTATTAATTAGATGGTACAAATGACAAACATCCGTACTTGACTTTCTAGACTTTTATCAATTGCAGTATTTTCAGTGTGTTCTGGCATTGGAATGGAAGTTTTGGAATAAAATGTTTTTATTGGAATTTTTAGAATAAAAAGTTCTATAGTTGTTGAAAAATTCATCAAAATCAGTGACTAATTTAGTGCGAATGGCTGAGATTCCAGAAAAATATTCTGTTATAGATAATAACTTATCTGAAAACAATAAAATGTCAATAATTTTTGAAGAAAATTCAAATGATTTAAAAGCCGTGTAGATTTTCAGGAGAGTAATTTGTAGTATATATTGGGAAAAGTTCATTGCGATCGAGCATAGGAAGCATTGAAGAAGCTACTCTTGGTAGCAATGCAAACGATAGATTGTTATTCTCCTTAATATTTTCTCAATTCTTGTGTATTAACATGCAGAGTTTGGTATTGCATTTTTTA